TCAAGCCTAATCTTATTTAGTCATGCATCATTAAAAAAAATAATCTCTTTACTTGTGAGGATTGCCTTGCACATCATTCATTCTTCCTCGTAAGCTTCTCCACCGTTCATTTCAGCTGGGTTTCACCCAGTCTATAAAATTATGTTCTATTTTCTTACCAGTGAATAAAATTATTCAAACCTTTGTGTGTGTGTTTGTAAATTAAATATGTACGGCACAGCTGTGCATTCTCCCTCCACTCCTCACTCCTCGGGCAACTAAGCTTTTCTTATGGATTTGAAGAACAACGTGAAGATGATGATGATGTATGTAACTCCAGGAATTCTTAAAAACTTCCATTTCCATGTCATCAGTTGTGAGTTTGGATCCGACACTTGCTACCTGAAATGGTAACAGATTCAGTCTGTTTAATAATGTTGCATTATGCCACTGCCTCATTTTTGTGAAGAAGGAAAAATGCTGTGGCTTAGGGAGTACTGGAATGATTTTGAATTAGGGGAGCTGGAGAGGATTTAATTCTAATCATCTGATAGTAAACACATCTTGATCTCAGAAAGACCTCCGTAGTGTCCAGTGCACTCTGTAAATATTCTTAGCACTACCTGATTCTGGCGGGGTTTTGATAGAGGAAACCATCATTTGTGTTCTTTCCTCTGCAGTCTCAGGGCATTGGGTGTTCCTTATCCTCTCTTTTCTGTCCATATAAAAGCAATGGGAGGTTAAATTGGAAGTGACCTCATCACATAGGCCACCCCAGCATTGTGGATCAGATGTACATCCCACTGCCAACTGGTGCTGTACGTTAGCAAGCTACTAGAGGCTTGTCACAGGGTAGCTGGTCCCCATGGATAGACTGAGGTGAGCACCCTGGACCAGAGCAGGTGGGTCCAACCAAGCTATTAGAGAGGGCTGGGCTATACCTGGGCCATAAAGTGCTCGTGGGCAGCTGGGGGAGAGAGCCACAGTGGAAGGGAGCAACTGCTGGTGATGGGTCCCTGGAGCAAGGGGCCAGATGCTTAGGGAAGCAGCCAAGCTGACTAGAACTGGGAAGCTGCCAGGAGCAGGAGTGACAGAGATGTGCAGGGGGGGTGGCCCTGAACCCTGAGGGAACAGAAATAAGTTAAAAACCTGTTTTCAGTCTGTTTACTTGCTGGTTTGAAGACAACAAACCTCCTTGGACGAGACTGGGCATGTGGCAGCACGGCACTTTGGAAGTGGGGAGAAGCCCAGCCCAGTAACAGGACTGAGGAGCGGCACACGTTCTAGTGCAGGAATTGTCAGGTTAGTTGTCCAGGCAGGACTGCTCTGTCGCAGCCTGGCATTCCTGCTTTCTAATCAGAAGTGGACAGTCAGTAAAATAGTTTTAATTTAGGGCCCAATCTGGTCTTCGCTAAGCCAGTTGCAAAACTCCCACTGTGTCTGATTCAGCCCCGAAGCTGGCCATACCCAGGGTGCAGGACCCTTGATGCTGGACCACCCATCTGAAGCCTGCAATTTCCTCCCCCCTCTCCCTGCTAGCACCCCAGCACAGCCTCCAAAGTGGGTCGCATTGGCTGGAGAGGGGGATTCAGAGCAACTCCTGGACAGCTTGGGGGCATGAGGCCGCTCTGGGCACCAGACCGCAAGGGAAAACTCCTTTCCCCAGTTGAGCTCTTGGGAGAAAGCTGCAGCATAACCACCACCTCCCTCCTCCTGGTGATCCAAAGCAGAAATTATATAGGTCTCTTTATTAAATATTCTACACATTATTTTCTATGTGCTTGCCCTCATTATTCCTTAGTAGCTCATGTGCTAGCAACAGCCCAAATATTGACATGCCCATCTCACAGCAATCACTCTGACACGTAAACCGTGTTTAAAAGCTTTCCCAACTTGCTTTTTATTCAACGTGGAACACATATTTAATCCATTGAGGGAGCAATAAACACGCTAATTAAATGTGTCCTCCTGGGAGACAAAAAAAAAGAGGACCTGAAAAAGAGAAGAGGGGGAAGAATATTAGAAATAACATCACAAGCTGGACCAGCAACTAAAAGAGATTTGCTTAAAGTGATGATGTCACTGGTGTGCAGCTCAAAAGTCAGCATGTTTTTTTTCCTTCTCATCTCTTTGTAGAGTCAGTGCAGTACCCGCCACATGCTGATTGCCTATGGAACATTTTGTAGCTAAAATCCTGCTCACGGTGCATCTTTGTAATGACTGTTTTACTGTGAACTACTTGTCACTGATGAGCCCAGTTTTAATTGTGTAAAATTGTACACTGTTTTTTCTCTTTTCTGTGCCCTTTTCTTACAAAATAATGGGAACGTTTAAAAAGGTAATAGAAATCTTTGCTAACTTGTGGTCTGTTATAAGCTATTTAATGACATTGGACAAAGTTTTGCAAAGTGTGATATTTCCCAGCTTTTCAACTGGAAAAAAATAATTGCAAAAGTCAAAGCCTAGAAGTTTTGCACTACCCATTCTTATCTGTTTTGTACAACCCATTCTCATCTGGCATTTCCAAGGTATTGAAGGCTGTTGGGTACTTCCATATAACTGAGGTTTTATTCCAAACCATTTCCATTTTAGATAGAAAATATGCTAAAAGTCTCTGCCAAGTAGCTTCACTAAATCTAATGGATGCATATAGTTTTTTTTAAAAAAAAGTTTGGTTTCCCAAGTAAATTATGTGTAATTGAAATATCAATTTTAACCTAACTTTAAAGGCTATCTAGGGATTCATGTAAAAGCATTGGGCTTGATCTTCCAACCAACCAATCAGTGAGAAAAGTTCCTTACTTTGAAATAAAAAATATTATAACCTTTCTCATTATGTTCAGCCAAAAACTTTACAGTTTGGCATAAGGGCATTGCTCTTATAACACCACACTCTGGAGAAGGACTCAAGAAAAGATTTAATTTTATTTCAACTCTTCGTTAAAAAAAAATAAACCACCCCAATGTTTAGGTCTTTCTGTAATTAATGAAATGACCAGTCAGACAATTAAATACCCCAGATAAATATTTCTACCAGCTAAAATGAACGAAATTCTCCTCTCATCCACTTCAGATTTACATGGGCATAACTGAGGGCTGATCTGCATGTAACTATTGCAACAGTTTAGCTGAAATTGGTTTTAAATCAGTTTAGTTAAACCCATGTGGACACACTTCAATACATTTACAACTGGCATATATCAATTTAGCTTAAGTCAGAGTTTGTCTATAGGCAGGCGTTACACCAGTTGTAGGTATGATGTTAAATAGATTTAGTTAAATCAGCACAACTGTGTGTGTGGACACATATCAGTTTAAAATTGGCGCACACCAGTTTAGCCTGCACCTGTAATTTACACTATGTATTTACAATAGGTACTACTACACCTATAATTTAAAAATGTAAGGTAAACCAATATAAGCCAGCTTGCATTAACATCAGAGTGTCAACATAGAAAGCTGCACCAGTTTAACTAAGTAGGTTATCATTACCCTGATAGTTAAGCTGGTGCAACCCTGTGTGTAGACCAGGCCTCAGTTACTGATTTGAGTTAAACCAGTGCAGCTTTTGTATATAGAGAAGCCCCATTTTGTTCAGCTGCATTCACATCTCCTCTCCTGGTTACAGTGACACAATGGATCAGCTACAGTTTCTAGAGTCTTTTAAACAGTCTGGGCCTGATTGTACCCTTGTGTCATCCACATCATGTACAAAACAAAAGCAAAGGAAGTGTCACCATGACAATGAGAAATGTAGCATTTAACATCCACTCTGAACCCACAGGTGTGACTGACTGCACAAGTTTGATGGCAATGGGGAATCATTTTATCTTTAGTTGGTGCAAAAAAGAAAGGCAAAAGACCAATCAGATTGCTTGACCTAAATCATAGAATATTGCTTAATTTCCTCTTAAATGTTTTAAAATTTCCTCCCAGGGATACAGGAAGCTTATATAAGAAAAAATCTCTCTCTCACACACCCCCTGACCAGTCTGTGTTAGTTTCACCTAGTTAGCAACACAGATTATTATTTCAACAAGACCCTGATTTATGGTCTCATATAATGACAGAAAGTGGGTCTCTGCAGAAAAATCATTTGTAAAATGCTATAGCAATGAACACGCACATTTTAAAAAGTCAGAGTAGGACACACTGTATAATTCTGATGCATGATCAAGTCACTCAGTCTCTGTTTTATCTACTGCAGCTTGTAATCATCTTCATTCACTGTGAAAACAAACCCTCCTAGAAAAAAACACTCCAATCAGCTGTGAAATTGTACCAGTGTACAGAGAATGAATAGAAAGTATATCATGTAGCCACTCGAATGCTGAGAAACTTTACCTGTGGATGACAGCAAAGGACAACTGCAGGACTTTGCTCCAGAGTCTGTTGGTCCACAATGCAGCAGGATGCTCTAGCATTTTATCAACTCTGTCACTTTGCAAGCCTTGAGTGTTTGGAAGCAGGGGTGTCAAAAGGAAACTCCTGATTGTTGTCTGTCCCGTATTTCAGAGCCTGAATCCAGGTCTACTCAAACAAAGCTAAATCCTCAAGAGACCAAGACATGTGGCCCATCCACACCTCCCTTCCCTGGTGGGAATTAGATCCCAGAAGGCGTAGGTGAGAAATCAGATAATCCTCCTTTATTTGTACTTAATTAGAACAAAATGAAAGTGGAAAAGTTAATATAGTCAGCTATGGACTATCCACAGAAGTTCAGGGATTTGTTTCTAGCTGGTAACAGATGCCAATTCTCTCTCCTCTATAAGCAGAGTTCAGTTTACTATGACATAACATGGGATCTATTTTTGTCACCACTTTATACAAATGTGTTACTCTCGTGATTTCCATTCAGGTCATTCAATGACAGATGCTTTGGCTCAGGCTGTTCATAAAACTACTAGATTCTTCCCCCGCCCTATCCTTCTCCCCACCCCCAGCTCAGTTCAGCTCTTGGACAGCTATGTCACGGAGCTTGTGTTTGCATTCTATTCTGGTAGGTGTGAGTTATGGTGATACCATTTAAACCAAAGGGCTCAGAAATGCATGTCAAATTAACCCAGTGACTAATCATGGTATTTTGCCTTTCTTTCTGCTTCCAGGCACAAGATTTATACGCTCAGAAAACCCTTTTGCTCTGCTCCCTGGGTGCTGATTTGCTCTTCAGCCCAGATTTCCTAACACAGTGAGAGAAGATCACCAAACATGCTCTGTTGTCCCACGGTCAGTGAGATCTAAACTTATCTAAGTTTGAAATACAAACAAGGCTTAGACAGAAAAAGCAACAGCAAACGTTCGCCTCATCACTTCCCCCCTCTCATCGGTTTCTGCTCAACGCCATGCACTGTCAGCCACAGACGAGCTATTTGATCAGCCTGCCGAGAAAGAAGGAGCGGGAGAGACGCCTGAGCCGACGCAAAATTCCATGTGTAAAGACTGTCATCTAGCTCCCACATCTGTCACATGATGGCCAGCCAAGCAGTAGCTCCCCGCAACTGTGGACCTTCCATCCTTCTGCATGAAATGGAAACAAGAAAAGTAAGCATCCCAAGGCTGATACTAGGTTCAGCTGTTTTCTCATTGAGTGAATGTGTTTAATTCACTGCAAACGTACTAAGCTAGCCTGCTAGGCTAGGAAAGGGCCTGATTTTCTTGGTTGGGCTTTTCTCGAATAGATGGAGGCTTTGATGGGCATTCTTAAAAAGGGACCTAGAAGTTGATTTGTGCAACTGTTCTAATTGGTCATTGCATTTTAATTTTAATAAATTAGCTTAAAGCATCGTATTATGCACCATGAGTTACTTCCTGGCCTACTGCAAAGCACACTGCAGTACTGTGCTCTCCCAGTACCAAATGCTTAGAGCCGAAGGCTTGATGTGTGATATTTTACTGAAGGTGAAGGAAAATGAGTTTCCTGCGCACAAGTCCCTGCTGGCCTGCTCCAGTGATTATTTCAGAGCTATGTTCAAAAGCTACACAAAAGAATCCAAAGCCAGTGTCATTCACCTACAAGTCATCTCACCAACTGGTCTCCAGCATGTACTGGATTTCATTTATACCTCCTGGTTGCCCCTTTCTTTCGAGAATCTGGAGGACACCCTGGAAGCTGCCAGTTACTTGCAAGTGACCGAGGCTATTGGCCTGTGCAATCAGTACTTGGTTAACAACCTGACCCTGGAAAACTGCTGTTTTTCTGCCAACATTGCCACAAAGTTCTATCTTCCAGATGCTTTGTTGGCGACAGAAAAATACATCATCAGTAATCTCTGGAAACTTTTGGATTTGCATTTCATGGAGCTGCTCTTACTGAACTTCAGATCATTGAAGGCAGTGGTAGAATCCCCTGATGTCCCTATGGTGAACGAATCCTGCCTACTAAATCTAGTGCTCATCTGGCTGAAGCATGATAAATCCAGGTTGACTCACAGAAGTAACCTATTAGAACATATAAGATTTGGTCTCATCCCAGTGGAAGATCTGAGAAAAGTCTACACTCAGTCAGAAGTGTCTCTCACGACACCTATTAAATGCTTGATCATAAAAGCAATAAACTACCATTCATTAGTTTTTAAACAGCCCATCCTGCAGGATAAGTATAGCACTCTGAGAAACCAGCAAACGCGAATCATCCTACTAGGAGGGGGGACTTCAAATGAGGGGCTGGTCAGCGATGTGATGGCCTTTGATGTTTACAATCACAAATGGAGAACTCTAACACAGGTGCAGGACAGAGTACAGAATCACTGCATGTGCGTGATTGGAAACTACCTGTACGTGCTGGGTGGGGAAACAGCAGATTTGCAAAATGACATGAAAAGCACCAGCTTGTCAGTTACAAACAAGGTCCATCGTTATGACCCAAGATTTAACAAGTGGACCCAAATCACAGAAATGCTTGAAAAGAGGTGCCAATTTTCTTGTTGCATCCTGGACAACATGATCTTCGCAATTGGTGGAAGAGGCGAGACCGGATCACTGCATTCATCTGTTGAAGTCTATAACATTAGCAGAGACAGATGGATGAAGGCTACAGAATTGCCATGCAAGATGCATGGCCATGCCAGTACAGTGTGCAAGAACACGATCTACATCTCAGGTGGCAAATACACAGATCAAACCAACACAAGTAAGGATGTGTTCTCTTTGAGCAGCTTGGAAGGACAGTGGAGAAAGCAAGCGTCCATGAGCATTGCTCGATTTGGGCACCAGATGGCAACGATTAGAGAGGCCATCTTCACATTTTTAGGACTTTATGAACCATTCTCTGAAATAGAAAGGTATGACCCTGCCCCAAACCAGTGGACTCGCTTGCGGCCATTGATCTATGATCGATTTTGCTATGGTCTGGCTGTGGTAGAGGAAACGGCACTTCTCATTGGGGGAAAGAAATGGCAAGACTCACAGGAGGTGCCAACCCAAGATGTGGTGGGTTATGATATAGACAATGACTGCTGGGAAGAGATTTGCAAACTTCCCTTCCCTTGGTGTGGATTGCAGTGTGCAGTGCTACAACTCTCAGAATTGGCAGAAACTAAGGACACCCAGTAATAGTGGAGCCCAGCTGCTGAGTCATCGCTTCCAACGGTTGAAGAACAGGACAGCAGGGAAAAAAGAGGAAAAAAGACAATTGCAACGGCACTAAATGTAACAGAGTTGAGGGTTTGCTTTAGAAACAGCCCACACAGCGCTTAGGGACCGAAATTGGGCACTAGAATGGGGAAAATGTGCTGTGACTCGTGTAGCTGAAGGCAGGTTTTGCCAAGGCAGATGTGGCAAGCAGCACATCCTGAACGGATGATGTAGAGGAATCCCAATGCTGTACTTCCATGGAAGCATTTAAAAGCTGTCTAAAGTCAGATTTTGCAAGGGTTAAAAATGTAATCTCTATTTTTTTAAATTAAAGGTCATTTCCCCAGATAGTAAGTGGTATTGGATTTTATACTATAGGTAAGCAAAATGAAAGTGTAATATATAAAGAGCAGAAAATTGTTGCCTGTAACAGCTTTAATAAGTAACACTTAGAGGATGGTATTATTTGAGTAAATAGCTAAGCGAGCATGCCTTAGCTAATCAGCAAGAAATTACCGCACAGAGAAGAGTGATTGGATAAAATGTAGCCTTAATTATGGTTATATATTAAACCATTGATTGTTCGATATAGGAACTGAACCGAGAGGGGAAGCAACCTTTCGGTGAAATAGCTTTTGTTATGGCATGCCCTTCAGGGTGGGGCTTTAAAGTGTGCTCTGTACTGGCACAGTACATATTTGCTGTATCAAAACCACACATTAACTGAGGCAGCCAGTTCAGAATGGGTATAATTATTATAAGGTACAGTGGAACATGCAACAATAGTTGCTATATCCAGCTACTTAAGTGAGTACATCCTGCATACTGTGTCCTGCTAGATGATCAAGATGATGGTGAAATTCTTTTTAACGGTTGAACCAATACATGAGAGGGAAACAAAGTAATAAAAGCTTGACTTTTATTAAGGACTAAGAAGGAAAGAAAGTTAACTTGACTCCTTGAAATTCTATATTAAATGCCTGGCTATACCAGAGAAAGCAATTGCCTCACTTCGCATTGGCAATGCTGACAGAGTAATAGGGAATGGATTGGGAGGACATTTTAAGGCACTGTAAAATGCAGTTATGTGACTAGATTCCAGAGTCTGATTAAAGATTTAATTTACTCAAAACAAATTTAATAAATATTCATTTAAAAGCTAAATTTATTTTAGTTCATTTTGCAATGTTCCCTTTCTAGCCTGAAAGTTAATACGGTAAAAATATATCTGTCCAAGAGCATTTAGTATTCTATGAAGAGAAGGCAGCACAATGAATGGGACAAATGTTCTCCTCTCTTTCATGCTAGACTATCTTAAATGGTAATGTTTAATTTTCACCTTTTACAGCAATCAAGCTGACTTTTCTAAAGTAAAGTGCAGGCAGAATAGCTGTTGCATAGCAACAGATCTACATTGTCTAAACTGCCTTAGTTTCAACAAAGAATCAGCTACGTGATGTGCATATACATCCATCAGATATGAAGAATTTTTATATGAATATATTTACTTTTGGTCCAGTAAAACAATAACAAGGGTGTAAATGCTTGGAACAATAGTACAATTCATATCAGGTCAAGCATTTTTTGTTATGAGAAATATACAAAATCTCACAAATTTAATATACAAGTCAGTATCCATGCAGTAAATAAATGTCCAGTTCATACAAACAGATTCTTCTAAATGGTACAAATATTACACTGGATTCAGAATTCCATACAAACATTAATACATGATTCGTCAGCCATGTTGACTTGAATTAGAATTATTTCAAATGGGCTGCAGAAAGGCCACACCTCTGTACAATTGTGCAAAATCTGCAAAACATTTGCAATCCAAAATGCATTAAAAAAACTTCAAAACAAATAAACAGAGAGACACTCCTCCTTTCCTGCCTTCATCCCAACAGCAAAGATAATTACCAGTAAACATCTGAGCTCTTAAAGTTTAAGTACATTCACTGAGCTGTACAGGCAACAGTCTAAAGCTGGTTCAGTGAACAACTCATGGTAAGGACTACTAACAGGTGCTTTTCCATTTGCCATGAGTATTATCAAACCGTGTCATGACTCTTAACTTCTGCAGCAAAACATTAAAAAGCAGCACAAATATTTTGTCATGCTCTGTTCACTTTTCATAAACACTAAGCTGGTAAAGGATAAATGCATGATTCAGGATTTTCCTCCTCCATGCCCATTCCAGGGCATGTGCATAAAGTCTAAGTAAATGTTTCGCTCCTGTTCCCTGGGTTGTTTCACATGTAGCTGAAATCTTATGTAAGTTTAAAACATTTTAATTGGTTTGTGAACTCAACACAAGCTGGAGACATCCTTTCCTCTTCAAAAGCAAAACAGAGGCTTTTTAATTGTCACTAGTTTTTCAGATTATAATCTTGACCTTGTTAATATCACATTTTTCCCTGCATACAAAATGTTGAATTTAACAGATTAGGAAACAAGTAGGAGACTAGTCGAAAAATCCTATTTACTCCCTCTCTGCCACCTGGGAGCTGACAAAGTGTTTCAGATGGAAAGCGTTTTGTCGGAATCCTTTTCTTTAGCTACTTTTTTTGGACGAGTTAAACATCCTTAACAAGCATGGTCAAAGTCTGGTTGCTGTCATTGCAAAAAGCTACACATGAACCTGATACCATCAGTGCAAAAGCAATCATATTATTAATGATAAAGAACCAACAATAAAATTAAGGGGGGATAACATACAATTTGGTCTTAATTAAAAATACAAAAACAAAAAAACTAATTTGCACTGATGAAAAACCTGTACTATAGCTCTCTTACAAACCAGCTTTTAAAAAGCATGGGATAGTTAATACCTGAACTTTTGATAACTGAACTTGTGTCAGTGATTTTTTTTTGTTTGTCCTTATTTATTTATCGAATGCTTGTCCGTTTTCATCAAAACTCAGCGATAATCACTGCATTACCTTTTTGTCTGTCACTTAAGAAAATTCCTAGAGTTTTTCATTAACTATAAAAAATGTTTTATTTTCCACACAATCAAAATAATACGTGAACTCCAAAAATGTAATGCAACACTGGAATTATATAGTATAAAATTACATTTTTAAAGAGGTCAACTGACCTTCAGTCACAAAACCTTGATCCTCTAGAGCTTTCATTTTGAAGCTCACCATCTTCCAAAATGTATTTTTTAAATATATTTTTATTTATTAAAAACCATGTTCATTTGTTTTGCACAAACTAAACACAAGCTGAGCATTGGTAGCATAAAAATATACAAATTCCCATTAAAGACAATGGGATCATGGACCACATAAGGTTTACTTCACATAGCCGAGTAACATTAAAATATAATTTACCAGACCTCCCAAATATTGATAGAAAAACTACTTTATGCACTGAGTAAAGGATTGGAATGTAGCAAATTGACAAAAAAGACAACACTTATACATGCGTTTCAATGTATGAATGGGTGTGTGCTAAAGAGGCTATAAGTGCATCTACTTCAGAAGAGCCATTTACAGGGTCCCTTGGGGTACTGTTTTGACAAATATCCAAGAAGAGATCAAGGTACATTTGTTTCCATTCTTGAAAGTCTTTAGATGTCAAATCTGGATTATTGAGAACCTTATCTATAATGGCTACCTCTCCTTCTCTGGCCTGCAAAAGAAAAAAGAACAGACAGCGATAAATTACTAGCAAGAGTATCTCATATAAATGATGAGCAACTTAACAAAAGGGCAAGCACATGTAAGACACAAAGGCATTAGAAAGAGGGGGGCATAATGTGCCATTGATTTGAAGCCTCTTGAGGTCTACTTAAAAATGATGTCATACATGGGTCAGGGTGTTGGACATCACTTGGGCTGCAGGGCTTCCCTTCTTATTACCCCTTGATCTGTTATATAAAAACAAAATCCTAGCTATTTACTATTAGCTGCTTTAGTTTCTAAGAAACTGTTTCACACTGTGAAGTGCCATCTGTTGACTTTTCTTGATTTCATAAGAAATACTGTTAGTGTGTGGGATGCAAACAGATGGCCTGACATCAATCAGTTCAGGGAGGCTTTTCAGCTGTGCTCCTCACTTTGGCATCTGAGCACTACATGTGAAAAATTAAGCAAGGATGTTTTAATTAGATATAACTGCTCTTCATTAAAGATCATAAATACATCTAGTAGAGCCGGTGCTCTGGCCCTTCCCACTGTAAAGGATATGTCTACACTGATTCGCAGCATGGGTAGACAGGTTTGCGACAGCTTGAGATGAGTGAGCCTGCTAAAGATATCAGTGTAGACCTTGCACCACTGGTGATGGCTCAGGCTAGCTGCCTAGACCCAGGCAGGCTTGGACTTGAGCGGCTAGACCAAACCACAACATCCACACTGCTATTTTTAGCATGCTAGTTGGAGCTGAGCTAGCATGAGTCTGTCTACTGGCTCTGGGAATCACACCTCCCAGCTGCAGTGTAGACATACTCATAGGGGCGAGAACCTGGCTGGATCTCCTCCTCAAGTTCAGAGCCAGAAGAGCCCACTTGTACCCTATTCCCCTGCTGTCTGGGGTGCACACGGGTGGAGAAGGTGTGTGGCTGCTCTGTGCTATGCTTTTAACAATCCCTGGCTGGTGAAGGTCTCTTGAGGGGCCATACCCAGCAGGTGTAGATCAGAGCCGGCTTCAGGCTTCCTTGCAGTCACTCCACTCTACTGCAACCAAGGGCAGCTGGATGCAACAGACTCAAGCCTTAATAATACAATTAGCACCCAGGTTTAAGCTTGAGGCCTTTCCTGTAGTAGTGATCTGTTCATCAACAACTTCTCCTTTACTGTTTATTCCTACAGGAAGCTTCATGGTCCCCACTGCTAACTTATCTGTTCCATGATAACTGTACACATATGCTAAACCTTTCATCCATTTTGGTGAGGGTGATGGGTGTAGTTAAAAAAACAGCCTGCTCTGTCTTTCACCTGATACACTTGGAAGAGTCATGGTCCCAAGAAGTAGTACATTTAAAATGTTATTAACATGTATAAAGTGATCTTCATGTTGAGAGTGCTTTGCAAACAATAGCTTTTTGATGTTCCCCAGAGTAGTCGCATATTCATTTTTGAGATAGGGAAACTGAGCCAAAGGTTCACATCAAAGCTGAGATTAGAACACAGGAACTCCTGCTTTCCAGACCTGTGCTGTAGTACTGCACTGTGCTTCCCTGGTGCTGTATTAATAACTCCTGGGTACTCTGTCCCTCCTTACTACTGCCCAGTGAGCTTGCACCTTCCAGGAGGAAGGACGGCCTTGTGATTAAGGCACAGGACAGGAAGTACAGCCTTGTGATTAAGTACAAAAACCTTGGTTCTGTTTCTGGCTCTTTCCCAGACTTCCTATGTGAGACTTTGGGAAAGCCACTTAAAAGCCTTACTTTCTCCCTCTATGTTCCAATTCTGCAAAGTGTGACATATACGTTTAACCTTACATACCCCGAGTAGCGCTATTGCCTGAAATGGGATGACACTCACTGTGAGTAAAGTAAATCCTCTGTGTAAGTCTTTGCAGGATCCGGGTCATATAGAATGGAGATAATACTGTTTAAGTGCCTCTCAGGGGGGTTGGAAGACTTAATTCATTAATGTTAGTAAAGCACTCTGAGACGAAAGCTGCTACCAAAGGCCAATGTATTTAGTATCTAGCGGCTTAAAATGTAGTAAGTTAAATTTAATATAGATAACTGGGCCTCAAGGAAGATCCAGCATAAGAGTATCTATTGTTTACTGTGCTTTAAAGGAACATCCCTGATGTAATCTGGAATAGCATGCACTGCGATAACTTTCTGATGATTAAGGGAGTAGACAAGGTGGTTAAAATTTCAAAATATAAATGCTCTGTTTTAAATGTAGGGACATTATTACAATATTTGTATGTATCATTACTGCCATTTATTTCATAAATCTTTGTACAACCTTCAGGCAGAAAACAAATGTTCAATTATTTTCTAGACAAGCTTAGTAATCATAGAGCAGCAACATTTTAAATAAAACTGCCACTTTCCAAATGATTGACTTTAATTAAGCTTACTCTCAGGTAATGATATAGCACGTTTATCTTGGTAAATGAAAATGTTTTGGGGAAAAAGGGGGATTAATACCTCTTCTGAAAATTTCAGATCAAATCATGTTTAACTCGGTAGGGGAGGAGCTCACAGAGATTTTATCTATTGAGAAATAAAACAGATTTCTCCCCCCCAGGACACTTTTCCTCAGCTTTGAGAACAGAATTTTCCCATGTCTCTCTTTTGTTCTTTTCACACACAAGATTC